CCCTCGCCCCTCAAGCCCCCCAACCTTCTCCAAAACCTTCGCATACCCCTCCATCACCCCATCCAAAGCCGCCTCCAACCTCTCCACCCGCTCATTCCGCTCCAACTGTACTAGCTGATCGCGATTAAACTTATACAAGCGCTCCTTCACGTACAACCGCCAAAGGTAAAAAGCCCGGTCGTGAGGGTTCGTGCTCTTTTCCTTCTTCGTGATGCGGTTCCGGGAGCGATGTAAGAGCGGGATGGCTGATAAAGTGTGCATTTCGACCAGGCGATCGAATTGACGAGGCGAGATTTTGGTGGTTTGGAGGAGGGTTTTGCGGGTTTCGCCTGAGATGATGAGGGATGTAGGGATTGGGGCGGAGGATGCGAGGGTCTCGGTGGGAATGGCGTCGGGATTTATGCAGAGGGCAGCGAAGGTTGGGTGGTGGGTGCGGAGATGCAGGAGGTCGGCCAGATCGCGGAGGTCGTCGAAGGCTTCGTTTGGGTCTTCGATGGTGAGTTCGACGATGTTGTGCGGAGTTGTAAGGGTGGTGTACATTGTATTGTAGAGAGTGCGGCCGTGGCCGGCGTGTTGGTGTGGGGGGAGTATGAGGAATTGGGAGAGGCGTTCGCGGCTGGGGAGGTTGAGCGGGTCGAGCGATGTCTGAGGTTGGAGAAGGGATTCGACGGTGTCGGGTGAGGCAAGATCTTGGGTTTGCTGGCGGTCGGAGAAGGTAAAGACGCGGTAGCTGGTGCCGTACCCGACGAGGGAGTGCGGAGAGTGGGCCTCTTCGTCGACTTGGTAGAGCAAGAATAGCTTCCAGCGCCGCGTCGTCCAATCCTGCTCTAATTGTAGTATAGTGCCGCCCTCGATGAACATGGGCACGAGGATCTGCATGTTCTCCAGAATGCGCTTCGCCTGGGGATCCGCTAGGCTCGCGCACCAGATCTCGAACTTCTCGCTCCGTCTCGTGTAGCTGTGTATCATCTCGCCTGGCGGTTTGAAGCTTGCGGCCTCCAGCGCTTGCTTCCGCGGCTCGAACGCATAGGCGGGCAAGAATTCGGCGAGCGCTTCACGTATGTCCGTAGGCCGCACCTCGCCTTGTGCTTGAAATTTTTGGCCGTGCTGGATATCGACGCGGGGTCGCAAGTCGTGGGCGGCGAAAGTGAGGTTGATGGAGAGGTCTTGGTAGCCGAAAATGGCTTCTTCCTCGCCAAAAATGGGATAGGTGAAGTCGGGGTGGAAGGGTTCGGCAATAGGGGTTGAGGCGGAAGAGGTAGGGTCGACGAGGGCGATGGTGAGGCACTCGTTGCTGTTACTGCTCCACTCATCGACCTGTGCGCGGATCTGCTCGTCAAGATCGCTGTCGTCGTCGTCCATGGCGTGCGACGGTGAAGGCGGTGAAGGCGACATTGGTGGTAGAGGTGGCATAATGGATGTATAGCAGATTAAACAAGGTGTATGTACTGGAAGTCTTGAAGTTGCGCGCATGCAGAGTCGAAAGCTTGACGCGCCGCGAACGAAGCGCGTAGAGAGGTGGTCTGTGCGCTCTTGAGCTTCATTCAACCACCGGTATGGATGAATTCACTCAACAAACCCCTTGACCTGATGTATGCACATGTCTTAGCACGCCTTCAATCACCACCACGGACGAACTATATCGAATTCATGGCGCCCTAGACAGCTTGGAAGGAATTGAATACAGCCCAAACCACCCAAGATGTGGGCCGGCCTGTTCACTCTGCTATTCCTATGCGCCGTCATGGGCGGAGCGTGAGTCCACCTCCATGTGCCTGACCCGGTCACATGACATGCATCGATCGACGACGTGAAGGTAGGTCTGACACCACGGTAGGTCCTTTGCCGCCGGCAGCCTCCCCCTCTCCTTCTCCCTTTCTTCGCGCCAACTCCGCCTGCTGACCGCGCTCGGCACTGGGGTGTTGGTTGGGACGTCACTGATTGTCATCATACCGGAGGGTGTGGAGACGCTGTATAGCGCAGGAGGGGCCAGTCACGGACATCAGGAGCGGGGGTTGTCGGTGACGAGGAGAGGGAACGAGAATTCATGGGTTGCGGCTCCGGAGGTACCGCACCTCGCCCCACGATCGTCACTGGCGAGACTCGCGAGAGCAGACGTAGGCTCGCCGGTTAAGGAGATGGATGGGCTGGTCACGGACGGGCTGGTCACCAGCCCTGGCCACGACTTCGACACGACGGAAGTAAAAGTCCAGCGAAATGCCCAAGCATCCACCTCTGCACGCATGCCGGTCAAAACAAGGGCCGGCTTCGTCACCGGTCCCGACGACGGCTTCGATACGGCGGAAGATGGCACCAAGCTGACCGCCTCAGGATCCGACTTCACTATCACCCCTGCCGACCAAGCCACCTCCCCCAACTCCCCACCCAATACTGAAGGCCACCCTGAAAATCACGCCAGAGACCCTCACACCTGGGTCGGCCTAAGCCTCATCACGGGCTTCATCCTCATGTACCTCATCGACACCCTCCCCCGCCAGGCAGTGCGTGCCGCTCCACCCCGTCGCTTCAGCATCAGCCTCAACGCCTTCAGCCTCAGCCGCACCAACACTCGCAACACCTCCCCCAACGACCCCTCAACAACCCACGAACCCCCCACCCCAACCTTCGGTCAATTCTCAGATTCCCACAAATCCACAGCCCGTCCCGCCTCTACCACCCTCGGCCTCGTAATCCACGCCGCCGCCGACGGTATCGCCCTCGGCGCCTCCAGCACCACCACCGCCCGCCTAACCTTCATCATCTTCCTCGCCCTCCTCATCCATAAAGCCCCCGCCGCCTTCGGCCTAACCTCCGTCCTTCTCAAACAAGGCCTTAGCAAACGCGCCGCCCGCTTTCACCTCCTCATCTTCTCCCTCGCCGCCCCAGCCGGCGCCCTAGTCACCTGGTCCGCCGCGCACCTCCTAGGCTACGCCGAGGCAGCGGATGGCAGCAAAAACGGCGACAAGCAATTTGCCGTCGGTGTCCTCCTTCTCTTCAGCGCCGGCACTTTTCTCTACGTCGCTATGCACACCATGCAATCCGCTGCCGATCCCCACCACGGAGCGCCCGATGACGCCAACAACGACGAGGGCTTTCACCCTAATGGCTACGCGCACGTCGGCGTCGACGACATCTATACATCGCAGTCGCGGGCTCCGCAGGAGCGGCAGGGCAGCACTGGCGGGGTGTTGGAGACGGCCGTGACGGTGGCGGGGATGATATTACCTTTATTGACAGTATGGGGTCATGCGGGCCACTAGAGGAGAGACGAAGGCGAAAAAGGACAAGAATCGCAGGAAATCTAAAAGACAGCTAGCTAGCTTCCAAGCAAGTTCGTGAATCTTCATCCATAGACCTCCAAATCTAGACCCCTGACGCTGTCCTGGGGCTCTTTCCGATCGTACGCCGCCCTATCTCTGTCGTTCGAACCTGATAGACCTTTCAGATGGCTGCGACACCACAGGGCGTTTGTTTTACTCCCTTGCAAGCGCGGAAAATTTCTTCCTTGTGTCCCCACCTCCACGCTCTTGATAACTGGAACGTCCTTCGACACCACCTTCCTCCCCCCTAACCCCGCGCACGCCGAGCCCAAGACCAAAATCATGACAGACCCAAACCAGACAAGAGGATGGAAAGCGAAACAAGTCAAATACCCCAGGTTCGCTTATTTCGGGATGGAAGGTAGGCCTGCGCCTGTAATTCTGTTCTTTGCCACAGCCAGCTCGATCTCGCCGAATCATCACAACCGAAAACACTCAAGCAAAACACCGTCAACCTCATAATTTAGCCGTCCTCTTCAAATTCTGATATAGCGCCAGCGCCGCCAAGACTTTAGCATCTCTCACCCCTTCCCGCCACAGATCCTCCAGCTTCACAACCTTGAGCGTAATCTTCTCCCCTTCCCCCCTCAACCCCGTCAACTTCCCCTTGAAACCCTCCAACTCCCCCCTCGAAACCCTCTTCTGATACAGAAACATCGGCACGAATTCATCACAACCCCCCGGAGAACTATAAACCCCCTTCTGCAGCCCCTCGGCATTAGCCTCCCCCTCCATAGCCATCGCCGTCATATCAACCAACTCCTCTCCCTTCACCTCCAGCCCCGTCTCCTCCTTGATCTCTTTCGCCGCGCCACCCGCAAACGTCCCACTATCATCCAGCATCCCCGCCGGCAACTCCACGAACCCCAAAGCCCCCGCCGCAATCCTCGGCTGCACGGTCAAGATGACATATTTCTCTTTTTCTTCCTCCCCCTCAGGCGCATCGTCCGGTTGCAGGAGGATCAGCATTGCGAGACTTCCGCCTCTCAGGAAGACTGAGCCGGGCAGGTAGGCGTCTTGATCGTTTGTGATTTCCGCTTGGAGTTTAAGGAATCCGAGGCGTTTCTTGTCTGCGGGGCCGAACCAGTCGGCGCTTTGGATTGTGAGGGAGCGGAGCTTGTAAGGGGTTTTGTGGAATTCGTGCGAGGGGTTGGTGGTTTGGAGGGCGAGGGTGTCGTGGAGGGTTGTGGACCAGGTTTTGAAGGCGGGAAAGTTGAGGAGTTGGTCTTGGGTGAGGTTGGGGGGAAGGTGGACGGGGCAAGGGGGGTCGGTGGATGGGAGGGTGAAGGTTGACATGGTCGTTCTGGCTTGCGGGTGGAGGTGGCTTGGGAGGGATGTTGTGGTGCGACTGCTGATCGACGAGGGTCGAAGGTTGCGGATCTGTTATACGCGAAGACAAGGAGCGTGTTTAGCCTTATTGAGTTCCACTTACCGTGTTTAATGTGACATTATCGGACTCTGTAGCTTACCAGCGATGAGGATCTTGGTAGTATTGCGTGTTGCAAGAGCTGAGTAGACATGTATCGCATCACGTCTGCCTCACTAGACTTGGCGAGACTGGGAGCAGCAATCGATCATTACACATTTGATGAGTGGGGTCGTTCGCACTTGTGAGAGCCCGTATTGTAGATCATATACAATATTGCAGATCGGTGTAGTAACAGTCATCTGACTGAAGTCGCCCTCATGGTCTAGCGGTATGACGTGTCCTTCACACGGACAAGGTCCCGGGTTCGAGCCCCGGTGGAGGTAGCATGTATCTACGGATTGGTGCTGATATAACTTCGCGCAACTTCTTTTGCTTTTGCTTTTGCACTCGATCAATTAGATGAAAATGTAAGGTCTGGTCTGCCCAAGTATCCTTAGGGAAGCATTGGACTTTATCATTTTGCTGGATTCTTTACTAGTAATTTGGGGATGGAGATGGGGATAAATGCCAGCAAGTTGGCGATGTCGGACACTTTTTTAGTGAACCCCTTTCTTATGGATATGTCGAATGAAACATTTACATCATACCGAAGTGTACTTATTACAGAATCTACCTCACCCACTCTCCACCACCTCCGCAAACCACTGCCGTAACGCCCCGGCCAAAACACCCGGCAACTCCTGTACGTCCCGAACTATCAGGTAGTAATTGAACGGGAAAGTATCCAGATACTTCAACATCTTGACCTCCATCTCGCCCGTCGCATTCTTCACGAACTCAGCAGTCTGAAGATCAAGTATACTCTGCTTCGGTCCGTCGTTCGCCTGAGCCTGCTGATTCGCCGCATCAACAACCACAAAAATGACCATGATACGTTCCTCGTGTGCCTGGCGAACCAATTGACGAATGGCAGGGTGGTCCTCGCATACGCCGTCGGAAATGATGAGCTGGAGCTGCCAAAGCTCGCTCGCAGAGCTAGCGGCCTTGAGTCTAGCCTGACGGAACAGTTCAATCGACTCGGCAAGAAGTTTGCGCACGTTTGTTCTGCGCTGCGCGAAGCTGAAGTGCCTGAAGACTTTGGCACCAGCTTCGGAAGTGAAGGGCGTGCTGAAGTCATGGGCCACCTTGACGTCTTCGCCGAAACTGACGACGCTGAGCTCTCCTACTTCAAGCATCGACATGGCCTTCGATACGAGCGCTAGTGTCTCGAATGCGAGTCCGCGGCTCTCGCTCTCGGCCATGGACTTAGAATCGTCAATGGCAAGCATAATTTGATAGGAGCGCTTGCTTGGTACTGAGCGACGCATCCAGATCTTGTCACGCTTGTACGACGACGCGATGTATGATATGATGCGCTTGATGTTAAGTCGCTTACCAGTGCGGAAATCACCTCGCATTTTAGTGGCTTGGGTGGGCTGAAGTATCAGGCGTAGATGCTCTGTCAGGACCAATGCAAGGTTGCGTGTACTGGCTTCATGCTCTGACCATGAGGAGCGCGCTTCCTCCAGTGACATGATGTCCGACTCGGCTTCTTGGAGATCAAGATGGGTGTCGCTTAACTGCTGGTCGACTTGGTTGACGTGGTCTTCATCAGGAGCGACTTCCTCGTCTGCCATTTCGACATCAGTATCGGTACCGCGTGTCTCGCCAACGAACGCATTTGGTCGATCTTGAGCTTGCAATGCGTCACTCGGCTCCATTGGCTCAGGGTCTTCTTTCGAGTAGTCTTCTATAGTCTCGGGCTCTTCCGCATCCTTGTACGTCGGGCTCTCGGTTTCTGACTGGTCATTGACTGGCATTCCTTTCGCCTCATCCAAGGCAGTGGATTGTTCGGCGTTCGCAGCACCGAGCGCTTGAGTGTCAGCAGCTGCTTGGTCGTCTGGAAGGTGCTCAAAGGTGGCATCCGCCATATTCATGTCGTTATCCTTTTCTGGCCCTTGCTCGGCTTCGTGTCGCTGACTGGCTTGCTCGATTTGACGATGTTGTCTGTACCACTCTTCCAGTACGTCACCGATCTGTTTGTACGGCAGACTGGACTGCTCCTCTGCGTTCTGCTCCGCTCCAGTGTTCGTATCGTTGCTCTGCGTTCCTTGCTGCTTTCCACTAGCGCCAGCGTCAGCTTCTTGCTGCTGTTCCGAGTCTTGCTCCACGTCGTCTTGATGCTCTGCTGAAGCTGAGGCCTTTGCTTGTCGTTGGTTCGCTGATTCTCTATCCGCGCCATTACCAGCTTCTCCAGAGACGTCCTCTTCCTGCAAGTCCTGGTCGGCTTCTTCCGGGTTCTCTTCCATGAGGATGTCGGATTGCGCTTCGGCACTCTCGTCGTATTCTTCTGCGGGCTCTCCTTGCTGAGCAGCAGCATCTTCTTCGTCTGCGTCAACATTGTCCTCCATGTTTTGGGCTTCATCCCGTTGCCCATCGGGCCGTTCGTCATCCTCAATCTCGCCCGTGTCGTCTGGTGCCCCACCGTCCGCGTCATCATTCATGTCGGCAAGAGACTCGAGATCAGAGCCCTCTTCAGCCGTGTTTTGACCGTCCATGTTGATGTCTTCGGGCAAGTCGAGATTCTTCTGCTCATCCACATGCTGGTCCACGCCTTCCGGCTTTTGTTGCTCAACCTCTTCCGCTTCGTCGGCTGGTCTTTCGGCGTCTGGCGGGCCAGCTCGCTCGTCATTGTCACCAGAAGATTCGGCGTCGTCGCCTTTGTTGTCCTTGCCAGCCGCCATCTCTTGCTCATCCGCAGTCCCCTGAGCCTCATCTACATCTTTCTCAGCAGGATTTTCATTGACGCCCTGATCCCACATCTTCTCGTCCACAGTCGCCGGACCTAGATCATCAACTTCCCCGGCTTCCTCATCCATCTCACCGTCCGCACCTCCGTCGTCACTTCCGTCACCATCTTCCTCTTTATCACCCTCTGGACCGTCCCCGAGCTCGCCTTCCATTTCCTGATCGGCCATATCCACGGCATCCTGCTGGTCTTCCATTTCCTCATCCTTGCTTTTGCCTCCTGCTTCCTGCGCTAGCTCCGAGAGATCTTCGTCATCCCCGACGTCTTTGCTGATGTCTTCTCCTCCTTCACCCTCTCCGAGACCGGTGCCAGCTTCGACATCGCCAGACTTCTCCGTCTCATCGTTGGCTTTTTCCGACGGCGAGCAGAAACCTTGCTGGCAAAGAGTGGAAAACGAAGTGGCCAGATTGTAGGCCATCTTATTATTCTCGGTATGCATTGTGCAGAGCTCAGATAAGAGCGACTCATAAGCATTGCCAAAAGAGCTTAAGATCGGGAAGACTCGGTGGCAGGCTACTGCCAAAGCTGCCAGCGTACCATTGGAGTTGCTCGCGAGTTGTGGCAATTGGCTAAGGAGAGCACTAATCTCGTTTCGTAAGACGTCTGCCCGTAGGATGTCTAAGCTCCGCATCAACTGCTTGCTTCGTTCTACAAGCCATTTCTTCTCATGCTCGCTTGCGTTGAAACGAGCAACTGTCTGTTCTAGCTCTTGTGTCACCCCAAGGACGTGATCGAGGCTTTGCAGTAGACCGCGGACCCAACTGTTGGTATCGACTGTGGCTTGGCTGTTCGTTACAATGACCAAAGGCTCAAGGCTGAGATCGCCGCCCCAGCTTGGAATATGTGAGAGAACAGGCTCGAGCTCAGGGTGTGCGGCCACCGCTGCTGATGCCGAGCTCTGGGCCGCTGTCGTCGCAGTCTCTAGCTCGCGTCTAACCGACTCTACCGCTTCTCCAGTGATGTTAGCTGGCAAAGTGGGCAGGTTCCGAGCGGCTCTTTGTAGCTGTTGGAGCGTTTCGGTGTTGGTCTGTAAACTTTGCAGTGTGTCTCCGTAGTCCATGTTGCCAAGTTCGCCTTGAACTCTCACGAGGTCCAAGGCGCTGTCCACCGCCATTGTCAGACAAGTGACGCGGACAACCATGTCGTCTCCACAAGTGCTAGTGCTTGAGGTCGGGGCCAGACAAGTCGCGAACGCAGCAAGTTGCTGCGTTTGGATCCTGACTTCAGCAGCAGTTTGGAGGTGCCGACACAAGCTCGCTCGCTGTGCCATTGAGACTTGCAGCATGCTCTCTAGCAGGGCCAGACATCGAGCAGCCTCTGCTGGCGTTAGGTCCTCCGAGTGTTTTCTTGCCCCTTCCCTGACCGAGGGCATGATGCTCAGAAAGCGGTGAAGCGAATGGTCAGCGGCAGCAATATCGACAGGCACCTGCGTGCTGGCAAACGAGGGAATGTTTGCAAGAACAAGATGTGTCATCATCTGCACTTTCAAAGCGTCGTCGCCCAGATTGGACTGGAAACCCATCGAGCGTGCATCCCTAAGCACGTCCGCCAAGAGACGTCGTTTTCGTGACTTCAGGTACAGCACAGACTTCTCGTTTTCCTTAGTCAGAACCGAAGGTGTGGCCTTTTGTAGCTCGTTGATGGCGACGTTGATATCTTCTACAAAGGAGGAAATCCTCTGGCCAGCGCCAATGCCGTGAATCAGAGAAGTCTTATTCCGCATCAGTGCTACAGTCTGATCAACGAATTTGAAACGATCAGGTCTCGAATTCCAGGATGGGAGGTGCACGAGTGTCTCTTGGGTCGACGCTGACACGTCGAGGATCTGCAAGGATGTTGTCGACTCCTCATGGACGAATTGGATGAATTCTTTATGAGGCACGCCACCTTGTAAAATCGGCGCAACGGGCTGGGCGAGCAGTCTTCGATACTTTCGTACGATCCTTAGCAGTTTCTTGTGAGAGGATTTGGCGCTCTGCTTGAGAATCTCGATGTTGCGGTCTTTCCAGCTAGCGACTTGGATGACGTTCTTGATATCTTTCTCCAAACTTGTGCGGGTCTTTTGTAATCTTTCCGTGACAGTCGCCTCGAAGTGTTTATGATACGCCAAGAAGTTCGTAAGCGCCTGCCGAACGATCTCAAGTGAGGGCTCGCTGACAACGAGCGTAGCTAGATGAGCCGAGAAATCTTCCAATATTTCAAGGCGAGGAGTGAACTCTCCCAGACCCGAGCTGGCCATGAAGCCTTCCAAAGTGCGCAGCAAACCTTCTGTGTGGTGCTTGAGCTCCGACGAAGATTGCTGTACAGTACGACTTGCGAGCACAATAGTCTCGTAAGCAACATACCACCAAGAACTTGCAGCGTGCTCACAGTTGACAGCTTCCCGGTGAAGCAAGCCAGCCCAGCTTGACAACTCGAGTTGGCGCCAGCTAACGATGAGTGCCGTGAGCTTTTCAAGCTGGTCGTTGACGCTATGTTCTCGACTTGCTATTTTCTGCCATTCCGTCACGGTCTCATGTAGCTTCTCCAGCATCG